GTATTTGCAAGCAGGGTCAACCCTGCGTTGCGCAAATTCCAAAATTTTTACGACCCCCTTCCTTTTCGGGGGTATCGGTACGACCCCCCATATTAACTATCATGTCTTTCACATAATTTAATGCTCATCAATGCTCATCAATGATGGCAGTCACCAACATGGAGAAGTGGTGGACCGTGGTCAATCCGCGCGCTCTGTCTCGCTCAGAGGAGGAATCGAGGCAAATGAAGTTTTATTCATTAAATAGAAGGAATTTCCAAATTTTTGCGTAAACCAATACATCATTTTAATCGTAAAGATTTCTACTTTCAGAAACCCACCAGGATTTTTTCGATCTCTCAACTTTCCTTACCTTATAATCTGAAAAACTAAACCTTGTAGCAATTACGTTGCAATCCAAACCCCTCCATTCAGAAGGTTGCCTTTTCAATTTTCGTGCAGGGTTGCCCTTGTAGTCTCAAAAGCCCAACCCAACATGGGTTCACGTGAACGGATTTCAAAAGTTCGCTGATATAGGTTGTTCCAAAGCTCACAAAGCCCTGCCTCAACTGTGCATAAAGGGCATTAGGGCTGTGCAAAGTCTGCTTTCTCTTCCATATTTTCCGTACCACAAAGAGCAGCAGCTGAAGTGATTGCGCTTTACATCTGGGGACTATCCCCGTAATGTCAACATCAAACTACAGAAACACCATATAAATACGAGAAGAGTGAAACACCGCACATTCACAAGCCTCAGCAAGTGTTCCATTCCTAATATCCTTATCATCGTTCGGAATTTCGGAATTTCAGCTCTTGTGCATAATGTGGGTACTTGCGCTTGCTGTACTTGTGACTGTGTGTGTGGATGCAATGCCAGAGCGGCGGCAGAAACCAACATACTTTCTTCACTCCACTCCACAGGAAGGACCTTTAGAAAGACTGAAAGTGAGTTAATATCATTTAGAAAAGTCGCTAACGGTAACTCATTATCAATCTTTAAGAGAAAAACTATTGAAAAAATGCAACATAACATGGGACGCTTGATTGAGGAAATCAACGAGAAAAGCGGAGTCACAAGCGCTTACCAGGAGATATTCTCTTTACAAAGTTAGTTGATTCAGTATTTAGAAATTCTTTTGCCAAATTTGAAATAATATTAAGAGATGAGCTGGAACAAGTGGGAACCCGTTCTAAACGGCAAGCAATGAGAGACCTTAGCAGAAGATGGTCAAACAACACGGTCCCCTACATATTTTACCATCCAGGTCAGCTAATCTAGAGTGTTCTTTCGCACACGAGCGGGAACAAGCGAAATTTCATTCACTATGTTTAGACGAAAAGGCTAAGAACGCCTTCAAAAAAGCAGCGCAATTGTGGAATGACAACACGTGCATTAACTTCAAAGAATATCCGGATCCGATAACAACGGGTATCAAGCCGCGTAAGTGACATTATTCAACGTCTGGTCTTCCTGAACGCTTTTTCGCGTAATTTCGGAGAATGGGTGTTTTCTTTGGGCCCGCCTAACTTAATATATCTCCACATAGGCAGAAATGCATCCATTTAGAAAGAAATACCGAAGGGCACAATAGTGCCAAGTGATATTCACTTTCGAATGCAACCATGGCTTTCCATGGCCATGGCGAATGGCTTTCCAACTTAGGCATGGGTAGTTACGAAGTTGATGAAAAAAAAAGCACCAGCCAATTTGTTGAGCTAATAATAATAATCATAATGGGATAAACACAATAGTATTTCACTGTAAATATTGAAGGAGTCGAATTTCTGGAGAGGTTCACTTGAACGTTAGTGTTTCAGCTACAGACTTCTTATATTTGGCTCCCGGAGACGGATGTTTTTCGCACGTTGGTAAAATAGGCCCAGGCCCGCAGGAACTCATACTCGGCACAGGCTGTGAATCGGTACTGTTTGAGGGAGCTTCCTCAGACCACACTCACATGTTTAAGGAACACAGTATGCACAGGGGTATGAGTCTAGCACACAACAAACAGAAAAGTCCCCTGAGTTTACTGTGATGCAGACTACGTTTTCCATCCTGTTGCAGGTTGGGATTGCTGCACACGAAATTGGTCATGCACTTGGATTCTTCCACACTCAAGCAAGATATGACCGTGACAATTACATTACAGTCGACGAGAGAATATTAAAGTAAGGTTTGTAAATGCTGTAGAAAAAATCAAAATATGGCAGACCACTTCAGAACGGCTGGACTACCGACTTCGACAAACAGGACGAGACATACAACAATAACTATGATCTAACATACGATTTTGGAAGCATAATGCACTACGGATCCTAAAAGGTAGGATATGTTGGAGAGGAACCTGCAGATGAAAGTAAGTTTTTAGTCCTATCGCAGCCAAAGACGAAGGAAAGCGAATAATGACTGCCAAAGATGGTAATTACACATCAACTCTTGGATCTGATATCATTTCGTTTTACGACTTCTTATGATGAATAAATTGTACGACTGCCTCGGTAAGCAACATGCTTCCGAAAACTTGCTACTACGTTCGCAAAGGCCACAGTTCCAGACAAATGTGATCCTAAACCAGACTGCAAGAATGAGGGATTCCCTCATCCTCGTGACTGCTCCAAATGCATCTGCCCTAGCGGATTCGGTGGACCGTTGTGCGACGAAAAGGTGGCTAATTCTTCCTCAGGTTGTACAGGTTGTAAGTGGTGTTCGGTTTTGAAAGAATAATTTAGCCATCAAGTTGCGGTAAAGAATTGGAAGCTACCAGCGATTGGCTACCGATTGAAGAAACTCTAGACGCTGGGGATGAAGGCGAGGAGCAGGACGAATACAAAAGATGCACCTTATTGGATCAAGGTGCAAAACTTTTCCAAATGGACTGTATTCGAGCCTGAATATAATTCTTAAGGCGCCGGATAATGTGGACAATGCAAGGATAGAAGTGAAAATTAGCGGAGCTTCCTGAGGAATTCAACAAAGATGGATGCATTTATGCTGGTGTCGAAATCAAAGCAAATGAAGATAAACGTCTCACTGGTTACAGGTACAATGTTACAAAGATATGAAGAAAAACCACATTCACTTCGGAATACTTTTAGGTTCTGCTCACAAGATGACATTGGCACTGAACTTTCCTCAAACTCGAAGATTGTCCCTGTGATACTGTACAGTGGTAGCCGAACAAAGCCATTCTCCACAAAGCTGGAGTATCGTTACACTTCATAGGAAATTTGCACATTCTCAGCGAATAAAGTCTTCAATTGGAATGGATCGTTTTCTGCGCTCACGTAACTGGGTTCAAACCGTAGCGGATATTCGAATGTCAAATTCGACCCGAAGAGGATATCAGGCTCTCAGAGTCAGTGAAATCCTGTGAATTTTTCACAAAAAAATTCACTAGAAAAGGTTGCCACAAAAGAAAGGTCATTTTGAACTTGATGGCAGCAATCTTGGAATCCCTCGTCTGACCAGGAAAGATTTCAGGACATGGAGCCCTTTTTGAAAACGGTTTTTTGCATGATAAAGGGGCACATGCATGGAGTACAAAACTAGGCTCCATTTTTTCTGAGCGGCCCTCTGAATGCCAAAAAAGGAGTGAAAAAAGTTTCTTCAGAAATCGGAGTTTTCACACCTTCAACGTGGTTTATATCACTCGTATGTTGAGTGGACGCATAATAGAAGGTTTCCTTCACCTGCACACTGAAAACAATGTCGAATCTTCTTCTCCTAGCGTTAGTCCCGCGCAGTCGCAGGGTCCGCTGTCTTTGTCAGTCGTCGCCACTTCGCTCTGTCCTAGGGCATCTCTGCTGTGGCCGTGATTTCACTTAGGTCCTTCTTGATCACCTTCCACCTCTTCTTTGGGGCTCCTCGCGGTCGCTTGCCTTGCACTTCGAAGTCCATCGCTTTCCTTATCGGGTGGCCTGTGGCCTCCTTAGCACATGCCCATACCATCGCAGTCGCTGTTCCCTCACCTTCAGCTGGACAGGGGCAGTCTGCATGACCGCTCTGACATCCTCGTTTCTGACCCTGTCCAGTCGCGTCCAGCCGCAGGCCCATCTCAGCATCCTCATTTCAGCGGAGTGAAGCTGCCTTTCGTGATTCTTGTTCAGGGGCCAGCACTCGCTGCCGTAGAGCATCGCAGGCCTTACCACTGTCCGGTACACCTTCCCTTTGAGCGTTCTGGAGCACCTTCGATCGCAGAGGATTCCAGTGGACTCCCTCCATTTCATCCATGCCGCGTTGATCCTGCCTTCACTGCCTGATCCACACTGCCGTCGGCTGCCAGATCGCTCCCAAGGTATCGGAAGTCCTCCACTCTTTCGATGGTCTCACCATGGCCGTCCACGATCGGCTCTGCACCCTCTTCAGAGCTCAGGAACTTGGTCTTCTTGACATTCAGCCGAGCCCACCTTCTGCCAGGACCTTCTGCCATTCTGCACCTTGGCCTGTAGTTCCTCTCTACTATCCGCTATCAGGCGATGTCGTCAGCGTAGAGGATGGTCTTTAGCGGTCGTCAGCGTAGAGGATGGTCTTCAGTGGTCCTTCCATGAGCCCCTTCACCAGGACATCTAGTGTTAGGAGGAAGAGGAACGGGCTCAGAGCTGACCCTTGGTGCACCCCAACCGTGATGTCCACCTCTTTCGTTAGGCCGTGTGGGGTGCGTATGGCTGCCTTGGCTCCTTCGTACATGTCCTTCACCAGAGAGATCAGGTGTTCTGGCACGTTTCCGTTCCCTGAGCGACCTCCATAGCACTGCTCGCGGTAGCCGGTCGAACGCCTTCTCCAGGTCGAGGAAGGCTAGGTAGCAGGGTCGGCGCTTTTCTCGATACTTCTCCATCACTTGCCTAGCGATGAAGATGGCATCCGTTGTAGACCTTTCGGGCATGAACCCGAACTGTTCCTGGGAGATCGGGACCAGCTCCCGCAGTTTCGAGTCGACCAGTCGCTCGTACAACTTCATGGTATGCGCAGTCAACTTGATCCCGCGGTAGTCCATCGCGTCACCCTTCTGCTTGAAGATGGGGACGATAGTACTTGTTCTCCAGGCATCCGGCATCCTTCCTTCGGCAGTCACCGTATTCAGGAAGCGGGTGAGCCACCTCACTCCCGCCTTCCAAGCCTCTATGGGTACTCCATCCGGACCAACTGCCTTTCCAACCTTCATCTTCCCAAGTGCACGCCGAACCTCATCCTCTGTCCAGAGTGCGATGGGACCAGCTGTGGCCTCTGCCCGTGAGTTGTTCTCGTGGGAGAACTCCTCGTTCAGAAGACCTCTGAAGTACTCTTCCACCTCTCTCCGAACTTGGGCTGGCTTTCTCAGTATGGCGCCGTTGTTGCTCACGCTCTTCACCACCCTGATATCTTGAGTAGCCCGATGGGCTTTGGCCAGTCTGAAGACGAACTTCTCTGCGTTTCTGCTTTCCAACTTCTCGTACAAGGCGTCCATCTCCGTGTTCTTTGCCTTGGCTACGGCGGCCTTTAGCGAGCCTCTTGCAACTCTTGTAGGCAGCGAGGTCCTCGGGGCTCCGGGTCTTCTGCCAGCGCTTGTGGCCTCTTTCTTCTGCTTCACGACTCGCTGGAGTCTCCTCGTCCCAGTACCTCCTTGGCGCATCGTAGGATGATCTCAGCTGCAGTGCCCCAAGCCTGCTGCACTGGTCCCTCAGGATCTGGGAGACCAACTTCCATTATCCTTCGCTTGAGGTCGTTCTTCTCTGCACGGTGCAACTTCCACCACCGGATTCTTCTCTCGGTTCTTACCTGTCTCAGGGAGCTCTGGCTATTTTGCAGAATTTTTTTTTTTTTTTTTTTTTTTGGTTTTTTTTTTTTTTTTTTTTTTTTTTTTTTTTTTTTTTTTTTTTTTTTTTTTTCTGGAAAGCCAGCCTTCCTCGCCAGGTCGAGTACCTGACGCCTTACAGTTCGGGGAGAGATGATCTTTTTACCAGGCACTACGTGATTTCGTTGATGTCGCCTCCACTGTTGTAGGTGACCTCTCTCCTCGGCCGGGTCCTATCTATTCCTTACTCGTGCCTTTAGCTCCGTCTTTCACTGCCCTACGTGCCTCAGCATCACCTGCTATGGTTAGGTAATCGCCTCCCGAAATCGTTCCGATGGCATCGTCAAGGCTGAGATAGATCTCGTCCTTTTCACTTTCGGGGCATCCGACTTGCGGTGATGTTTACCTCTTTTGTTAGGCCATGTGGGGTGCGTATGGCTGCCTTAGCCCCGTCGTACATGTCCTTCACCAGCGAGACCAGGTGTTCTGGCACGTTCCGTTCCCTAAGCGCTCTCCATAGTACCGCTCGTGGTAGCCGGTCGAACGCCTTCTCCAGGTCGAGGAAGGCTAGGTAGCAGGGTCGGCGCTTTTCTCGATACTTCTCCATCACTTGCCTTGCGATGAAGATGGCATCCGTTGTAGACCTTTCGGGCATGAACCCGAACTGTTCCTGGGAGATCGGGGACCATTCCCGCAGTTTCGAGTTGACCAGGGCTCGTACAGCTTCATGGTATGCGCTGTCAACTTGATACCGCGGTAGTTGGAGCAGTCCATCGCGTCACTCTGCTTGATGAACGATACTTGTTCTCCAGGCATCTGGCATCCTTCCTTCCGCAGTTACGTTGTTGAGGAATCGTGTGAGCCATCCTATCCCGTAGTCACCCAGCGCCTTCCATGCCTCAATTGGCACCCCATCTGGACCAACCGCCTTCCCAACCTTCATTTTTGCTACTTCTCGACTAACCTCATCCTCTGTTCCACAGTGCGATGGGGCCAGACGTTGCCTCTAGTTGCGAGCTCTCTTTGTGGGGGAATTCCTCGTTCAGGAGCGCTTTGTTGTACTCCTCACACCTCCTCCTGACTTCATTTGG